CACTGATCTTCACTGGGATCAACATGGTGTCTGAATCTGACACGATATTGCATCCTTGACTTGGGAGGACGACATCTGGCAGGTGGTTTAGGCACTGGCATCATTCGATGCTCCACGATTCCATCGATGTCGACTTCACCATCCATAGATGGCCATCTGAAAGGAATTTGTGCAGTTTCTGCAAAAGGTGCCAACTTTGAGGCGTGAAAAACAAGGTGCGTGCGTAGGTGAGGTGGGATGCGAATCACATACTAAGGTCCGTCTATTTGATCCCCCACTATATCTAGGTCGTCCCAAGGACCGAAATATTGTGGCATTAGCTTTCTAGAGATCCCCAATTCCTGTCCCAGTTCAGATTATTTAACCCAGACCCGTTCTCCTACCTGAAACTGAGATGGCTGTCTGTGCTTGTTCATCTTGAGCTTTCTTAATATGCTCTACAGCCTGTCGCATCATCTGTTCATACTTGACAGCAAACTCTATGCTGCCAGGTGCTGCAGATGGGTTACTCTCAGGTAGCAGAAAATCTAAGGGAGTTCTTGGCTTCCAACCAAGATGCAGTTGGTTGGGAGTCATGCCGATAGTACTATGTATAGCATTTTTGTACACGCTGGCGACAAGAGGCAATTTGTCGTCCCAGTCATCCTGACTTGGCTTGATGTAATGCCTGAGTAGGTGCTGTACTACTCAGTTCATCTGTTCCGCCTGACCATTCGACTCAGGGTGATTCCCTTATGTCATCTGCAGTCTGGTACCCATCTGTTGGGCTGTGTTTTGCCACAGTTCGCTGGTAAAGTGAACATCCCTATCGCTGACAATGGACTTGGGTAAACCAAAGTCCCGTACCCAGTTATCAATAAATAACCTGATGACGAAATCAATTTTAGCTTTCTCTAGCATAGCGATTAGTCTTGCAAACTTGGAGAAACGGTCTACAATAACGAAGATGTGTCTCTTTCCACTCCTGGTCATAACAAGAGTATCCATGCAGTCCATGGATGCATTTTGGCCAGGACCTTCAGGAATCGGCAAAGGCTTAATAAGCCCAAGCGGAGCCTGACTCCTATGTTTGTCCTGTTGGACAAACATGGCAGGTTTCAACGTACTTTTTGGCATCTTGCATCATAGTGGGCCACCAGAATCTCTGCACTAGGTTAGTTGATGTCTTTTTAAGTTTTTATAGCCAAAATAACCAATTGCATCATGACATTCACCTAAAAACAAACTACGTAAAGACTCTCTATCTAGGACACAGTCTTTTATTCCCTGCCTTCTCAAGAAACCGCAAGCCATTTACCATCGTAAATTCGTCAGAAGTTACTTTATCTTTTGCTTCTAACTTACGAATGATATCAGACATTACTAGATCTTGCTGATAGGTTTCCGCCAAGGATCGAGTTACATCGTCAGATATACCAAACTCGGTCACTAGCACGCCCAGATAATATGCCCTACACGATAGCGCATCAGCCACTTTGTTATACTCTCCCTTGATTGGATAAAGTTGATAATCACTTGAATCCACCTTTTGAGTGGAGCACAGCTTGAGTCCTGATCCAACGCAAAGTCTCATGTTCAAATCTCAAGTAGAAGAATCTGCTTAGGAGATGGTGTCTCCAGTGGACCAGCGCTCTATAGAGGGCATAGAGCTCAGGCTCATACGTGGACTGCGCTAGCTTTCGGGGCGGCATCTTCTTGCTCATGTACTCAATGGGCCTCAACTTTTTCCCCTCCTTTTGTGCAAGGACCGTGCCTACGCCGTATTGGCTGGCGTCGGTGGTCACTACAAAGGGTTGCTTAGGATCTGGAAGTTTGAGAACTTCATAGTGTGTAAGAGCATACTTAAATTTCTTGAAGCTTGCTTCAAACTCTTCGGTCCACTCCCAAGGGGTGTCAAGGCGAGTTAAATTTGTCAATGGGGAAGCCATAGTACTATAGTTTTTAACAAACGGACGATAGTAGCCCATCATCACCAAAAACGATCGGACCTCGGTAACAGTCTGAGGTCTGGGCCAATCTCATATGCTGGCCACTTTGGCATCATCACGCCTCCACCCATCCGCAGAAATTTCATCACCCAAGTACAAGATCTTGGTGCGACCGAACTCGCATTTCTCCAAGTTTACCTTGTACTGGTGCTATCTTAGGAGACCTAGCACTGTTTTCAAGTGCCCAACGTGCTCCTCTACAATCCTACTAAAAATAAGGATATCATCGAGGTACACGACGATAAACTTGTGTAAGTAATCACGAAAAAGACTATTCATTGCGTGTCTAGCTTTCCCGGGGCGCCCGGCCGGGCCCCGCGCACCCCGCTCGGGGTACCCCGAGCACACTGAAAAAAACACTGGTTTTTTTTTTTTTTTTTCCGTTGTCGGACCTTGCTATGCCTTGGGAGTAGGGCCCAAATTCAACCTCTTTTTTTATTTTCATGCATCTTGAATTCTGTGTGATGGGGAGGGGGGGGGGAGCGTGCAGGAGGGGGCTGGATTATGGACTGTCCATTTACATGGGGGGAATACATCAGTTGTTGTGTCCCAACTGTGCTGGAGTGCCACGTCAGAGGGAGGAGGGAGGACGAAGGAGCGCCAAGTCAGAGGGAGAAGGGAGAAGCGCCACATCAGAGGAGGAAGAGAGGACGGATGACCGCCACGTTAGAGGAGTGAAGGAGGAGGGAGAAGGGAGGAAAGAGGGGGGCGAGGTGATGGAGGGGGCACGAGGAGGGAGGAGCGCCACATCCGAGGAAGAAGGAGGGAGGCGAAGAAAAAAAAGAAAAACAAAAAGAGAAAAAACAAAAGAAAGAAGAAGAAGAAGAAGAAACGAAGTAGAGGCCCAGGATTAACTTTTGTATCTTGGATCAGTGCGCTCCGTCGATCGATGGAGATCGACGGTCAAAATCCAAGGAAAAAAGAAAACCTACAAAACAGGGCGTACCGGACCCCCAAAAAAATGCGTCGACCGCCAAAATGGAAGTTGGCACGTTCGGAATAGGGAGGCAGCGCGAAAAAAAAATTGGAGGCTTTTTCTGCCTCGGTGCGATAGGCGCCCAGGTGCCTGCTCGAGGGGGTCCCCCGGCCGGGCGCCCGAGCTGGAAAGCTAGTTGCATCTTGGAATGTTCCAGGGGAATTGCATAGGCAAAGGGCATCACCACAAACTCGTACAAACCGGACCTGATCTGGAAAGCGGTTTTGTGCTGGTCCTTAGGTCTAATAGCAATTTGATGGTATCTGGAATTCAGATCTATCTTTGTGAAGTACCGACATCCCCGCACTCTATCCAATAGGTCGTCAATGCGGGGTAGGGGCTCCGCCTTCTTAACGATGATGGCATTGAGGCCCCTATAGTCAATTCACATCCTTAGGGTACCTCCCTTCTAAGGAACGAATAGGACTAGAGCACCATAAGGGGAGGTACTAGGCCATGTCCATCTCTTTTCTGTGAGCTCTTTGAGATGGCGGCGGAACTCATCCAACTCGCAGGAGACATCCTATAAATTCGTCCTCTAGGTACCTTACTCCCTGGGACGACCTCTATTGCATGGACCACCTCCCTTTCCACCACACCACCGGGCTCCTGAAAAAGGTCTAAATAATGTGCGATGACTGCCTCTATCTCTGGGGGTGATTTTACTACCTTCCCTTTCTAAGAGACAAAGACCAAGTACATGCCTTCCTTGCGATTCTGTTTATAGTAGTTATAGAAGGAAGATGCACACATGCACCCGTAGTTTTCCACTAGACTGCTAGCTGTGAACTTCTGCAATCTAATGGTTCTACCGCCGGGCAACTTGTGGATCATCACCTTTCTATCCCAATCGAATTGAGGTTGATCAACCTCGAGGTAGCACATACCTAGCAGCATGTCGAATGGCAGTTCGTCGCTGACAAGGAATGAGAGTCCCTCCTCCATAGGAGGTGTAGACTACGTCCTTCACATAGTCTTGTGAACCATGCGATGCTTGTTGGCTAGCGTTGATGCTACACATTTGTTGAGCCGCTACACTTGGTCCCCTAAGCGCAACCTATCCACACAAGCACGACTGATGAAGTTTCGTGTAGAGCGTGTCTGCGAAGGCACCCACTTTAAGACCACCTACATCAACCTCTACCACGAAATGTTCACCCCTAGGACAATTGCTAATCGTCGCCCAAGAGCCTCTGGGGTCCTTTCCCGACCACTCAGATTGTAACACTTCTAGGGACTCAGACACATTTCTCTAACATAGCATCGGTGGTTCTGAATATGTCTGCGGGGCGATGGATGGGCCACTAGCGTTGGCCAACGCCTGAAGTGGCGAAGGCAACGTTACCACTTCAGCACGAGTAAGGGTCTCATCCCACACTACATACGGTATGTAGTTTTATGGAATTTTCGAGATCCCACAGTGCTCCGGGGTAGTAGGCGGCACCGTCGACTTGTCGTGGCGGTCTGGGAGTGATCGGTGGCGAAAAAGTAGTACGGAAATGTGAGGAGTGCTGGACCCCTACCCGTCCGCTAAAAAGTCGGAGCAGCTTTTTGTTGTTGTTTTTTTGTTTTTTTTCCCGTCACTCCCTCCTTTCCTCCGTTGATCCGCCACCCTCCCACATTATTGCGCCGCGATGCCTAAAAAAGACCCATTCTTTTCGAAGTTGTGGGATGCAATTTTCCTTTCACGGTCCATCCGGAGCGGGCCCGACTTTTCTATTACTTTTACTACTTTTTCGTAAAAGAGACCAGTGGGAGGCGGCCCTAAGAGCGGCTAACACTCCTACTAGCCCGAGGTGTTTCCCTGCGAAGTGCTCGCAGAATCACCACCAGGGTTCGAAGATAAGCCCACCACGATTGGAGAGGCTAACCTTTGTGGTCACCTTCTTGCCTCGACAAGTCCTGGATATGTGGCCATAGCTGCCACAGTTCAGGCAAGTACCCCTAGCAACTCGGTCCCTCCACACCTCGTAATCTAAACCAAGTTTTACCCATGCGGGTGTTCCTTGGTCGCCCTGACCCTTGGACCGGCTTACCTTCTGATTCTCAGTCCCCCTAGTCTTTTCTTTGATAGGCGCCACGACTCCCCCATCTGAAGTCTCGCTGGCCCCATCCTGCTCTGTCTCATCCCCATAGTCTGCGTAGTCATCAATCTCAGTCGCCTGACCATCATGGTCGACGAACATGAGATCGCCTTTCTTCTTCCAGTCTTGGGGAAGTCTCTTCTTCCTACAATCTGACTGACCCTGATGAGCAGACCAAAGCTTAGCCTCTATGTCTAAGGCTTCTTGCTGAAAGAGGCAAAGTTATGTACTTCAATGTTCGCATCATCCACCAGCTTATTCTTGACGTTTGTAGGCAGACCTCTCAAATAGTCTGTGAGTACATGTGGGTCATAACGCACACCAGGTACTACAATCGGTCTTTCTACGGCGTCTGTGACTTCGCGTACAGTCCGGTACCGTTTGGAATTGAGAGTGTTGATCGCGTCAATGGCCTTCTGAGCCCCTTGAGGGTCATGCCACCTATTGTACACAGTCCGTACGAAGTCTTCCAATGTCTAGGCCTGGGCCCAGGCATCGAAGTTCTGACCATAGCCCTGTTGCTGCACTAACCCGTTTAACCATCATGTTGTTCGTCCCTCTAGAAAGGAGGCAGCGACTATAACTTCCTGTTCTGGCCTTGTGAGCTTGTGCCTCACACAAGTGGGCACTGTCCTCACCCAGGTGTCCAGGTCCTCTTCCTTTTTCTTGTCGCCGAAAAAAGCTTTAGGACTCAACTAAGGAATCTTGGGCATCCACTGCATAGGCTGGCTTGGCCCAGGAGACTGTTCCAGTTGCTGCATAGCCACTGAGACAGGTTGTTGCACGCTGACATGAGCCTACCCTCACGATGGGACTGTAGCTGCCATCGTCGTTAATGGTACAAAAGAAGTTCTAAGGACCGGACCAGTAGCTGCTACTAAACCACTTGGAGGGGGCATGCCAAACATAGGAGAAAAAGAGTGACCAACCAGCGACGACGTCACTGAGGGACCCGCAACCGATGGGAGAGCTACATCATACTAAGGCTGCCTCATCATTGGACGAGGAGCCTGCAGTGCAGCCAGAATCCGGCACAAGCGGTTATCGGGTAGCTGAAAATTCAGGAATGAAAATTCTGAAGTGAGAGTTTTGGGCAGTCTGAAAATCTTGAATGGTCCTGAAGTGGTGAAAGGTCCGAAGACCCTGAAAACCACCTGTTTAGGCAGGCTGCATCCTGAAGTGGTGAAGGGTGTCCTGAAGTGGTCAAGTGAGAGTTTTGGGCAGTCTGAAAATCCTGAATGGTCCTGAAGTGGTGAAAGGTCAGAAGACCATGAAAACCACCCTTCACCACTTGAGGATGCAGCCTGCCTAAACAGGTGGTTTTCAAGGTCTTCGGAGCTTTCACCACTTCAAGACCATTCAGGATTTTCAGACCTGAATGGTCCTGAAGTGGTTAAAGGTCCGAAGACCCTGAAAACCACTTGTTTAGGCACGGTGCATCCTGAAGTGGTGAAAGGTGTCCTGAAGTGGTGATGAAAAATACGACTGTTGTTAACCTTCTCTCGAATCCGGTTTTGGCCAGCCACTAGTCCAGCCAACACTTCTTGCTGCACAACCTGCGTTTCTGCCACGCAAAGGAGCGAACGACGCAACGCTTGTATTGCAGGTTCGAGTGTCGAATCGTCTAGTGCTTTCAATCTACTTAGCTCTTGCCTCCTGCTCCCTAGTCGAGCTTTTCTCAATATTGCTCTTTCTCTCCTTTCTGCTGTCTCACTCAATTGCCCCTGTAGCTCATCATGAAGTTCCTCTACTTGGAGAATCTCATAATCCTCCGATGTGAGTTGAGTTTGCTGGTTGACTTGCGAGCCAACGGATTGGCTAATTGGACCTTGCGAGATACCCTGACTAACCCCTGACGAAGTGGCCTGGGACGAGGCATGTGACATGGAAGCAGTAGCCATTGCGGCCTCTAAGCTAGCTGCTGCTAACCTAGTCCTCCTTAATGTCGCCCTTTCCCTGACTTCCCTTCGCAGCCTCCTTTCCCTCTCCTGGACCTAACTCCGGAAAAGTGATCGGTCGACTAAGACCAGTTCTACGGGTAACTCTTAGAGGTTCCACTAATCGTTACTCGTCCTCACTACTGCCTGCATCACTCATGAGCTACAGTGTGTGTGATCTAAACTAGTATCCACATTGAATCCTACCTCGGCATGACACCCAACCGAGTAAGATATTCTACTAATTTCGATCGGCCTGGAGGGAAGTAGTCAAGTGGTAAACAACTAGTGTCAAATCCTACAGGTAATACTAATTATATTTTTAGATTACTCTGGAACAAATTGCACGCAGCAAGGAATGCTAACTATCTGCAGCTGGCTGTTCGTTGTTAGTCAAGCCCGTAACAAGTAAATGATCGAAAATAAAATTGTGTCACCTGTAGAGATGCATGTTGAATGAAATATTTTCCAATTAGTACCTCCACGAACAGTTACCGGAATCCCCCCTCTCCCTGTATCCTTCTTGAGTGGTCACTTTGTGTCAACGCCCTGAGCATTCCGTTGAGCAGCGTGTCTGAAGGTATGCAATCCGGCCCACCCGAATGCTAACTATCTGCAATTGTTTGTTAGTTGTTAGTCAAGCCCGTAACAACTAAATAATCAAAAATAAAATTGTGTCACCTGTAGAGATGCATGCTGAATGGAATATTTTCCAATTAGTACCTCCGCGAACAGTTACCGGAATCCCCCCTGTGCATCCGGTTGAGTGGTCACTTTGTGTCAATGCCTTGAGCATCCGGTTGAGCGGCGTGTGTCTGAAGGTGTGCAATTCGGCCCACCCCTGTGCCCCAAGTCTATGTTGAACCTGCCAGCCCTTGCACCTTATTTACCCTCGCATGCAACGAGCCTTACTTCCGGTTGATCTGGCTGATCAAGAGGCAGTTTAAGGACAGCCCCCAAGGTCCTCGTGATTTATTTAACGCCGCAGACAAGACGACGATCACAACCAGCGTTCAATCCCGAACCCTCCAGAAATATTTAGAGACGGTCTGGTAAGCTTCTGTTCAAAGGGCTGGCATGCCCAACACGACCTCTATTGCGCAGCAACAGAACCAAGGACTTGCGGCAAAGCATGTGTACTACTCGCAGCGGGTTGGCATGGTGACCGTGACCCGAGTGCTTCGTCCAGGGCCCTTCAGAGGCTTCACCCGTCTCCCACCAGCTTGGTGCCCAGGAAGAATGTCGACTCTCAAGGTTGAGCGCTTGCGACACCTCACAATGACGATAAGAACTAATGAAGAGGGTAGATAAGGAAGAGAACAACATACCTCATAATGCTGCCCCCAACCACAAATTTCTCACCGGCAACCTAACGTGCATTTATGATGACCGTTCTCTGCCTCGTCACAACAAAGAGCAAAATGCAGTTCCACCTCAGCTTAAATGCCACATCAGCGAGCTCTCATCATCCGGCGTACACCCCTATGTCACCACATAGTCTTTCTGGCACGCCCACACAACCCTGGGCCGCCAATCGTTCAACGCCCAAGCCTTATCATTGCCCCACACCTCATGCGAAGCACCGAACAGCTATTGTGAAGAACCAATGAATCGCAGTTCGAACCACCTCCGATACCAAATTGCAAGGAAAATGAGCAATAGCGAGATGACAATATCCAAATTGCACAATCACATTGAAAGCCAAGAAGTTTCACCATGTCCATAAAGCAACATTGCACCAATATAACACCAATGGAGAATTGTAACACTGAAAACCAATGCCAATGAGAGCTTGCTCTCGCCACCACCAACACAAGTGTCCAGGCCCTTCTCCCTACTTGGCGCTCGGCGCCCAGCCTTCTCCCTACACAGCTACTATCTGCCTACTAATTGACAATGCAACTGTTGACGTCAACAGCCAACGAAGTACTTGAAGATGTCGACCAATGCAGAGCATCGCCAATACCAGGTATGTGCCCTCACATCATCATCATCATCATCATCATCATCTCTCTCCGTCGACTTTCACACACGTCTTCCCTCTATACACACGAAGACCACCCCTGCGCCTCATTGTGGTCCAAGCCTCAGCCAGCTATGGAGGCTGGGCTATGGTGCTGCCCTCACCAGCGCCCTTCTTCTCCCATGACTGCACGCGCACAGCACCTTGCCCTTAGCGCACAGCAGCACGCGAGCCTACGCTCCAGCAGCGTTGTCGCACAAATTGACAAGTGCCTGAATGAGCCTCCACGCAGCGAGCTCTTTCCTCGTTGGTATAACATGCTTTTGCGCATGATCTGAACATTTCGTTGTCCTCGCTACGAGGATGTAACCATAGACAAATACATATAGAATTAGTAACATGAGATGGCGACGCTTGACTTGTAATAGTTTGGGAGAATGTGCATGCAGCGCTTGTTTGGGTACAAGTATTGAGTAGTGGCACGAGAAGCTTGTGAGAGATTGAGTCAATTGATAAGAACAGTCTGATCGTGAACCGTCAGATATCAAAAATCTCGCTTTCAATATGAACATCTCCTGTTACTGAAAGGAAATGTTAGAAAAGGGGGAATCACTTATGAGGCTGAAACAGAGAACGACAAGTGCCTGGTACTTGAGGCTTGAAAAACATATTGATCATGATTGGCATTAACGACACTATCCTCTACTTCTCACTACGCAGACAAAGTGAAAACTGATTAGCCGCAGACATGAGCATTTAAAAGGGGATCTCACGAGATTTTCTTGAGCTGAAGTGTATGGAACTGACTACGATTGATGTTGCAGTTTACATGCGCTTGCATTGATTTGAAACTCTCAACTACTGTGTTCGATTAACGGAGAGTTGTACGGAGAGACTTAGAGCGAGCTCACAAGTCGGAATACTGGCTACCTGTATCAGAATGGTCAGGCTTTTCCATAAGGACAATCTTCTTCCTCCTCGTTGCATTAGGACCTACGTCAACTACATAAGGTATCTCTACCTTCTTCACTTGTATTTTATGACCACTGACTAGGGTTTAACGCTTACCCAACTTCTCAGTAAACAAATTAGTCTGATTCAAAGTACAAGCATGAACGAAGAGCGCAATTAGGTT